GCTGGAGGCGCTGCAGTACATATGCCGGGCCTGTAAGTGGCGCTGTACTTCCGCCACAAAATACAACAAAAGCAGCGAAGAAGACCCCCCGAGCATGGTTGCCATGGTTGCCTGGCTGCTAGGGATGGGTACCGAGCCCCGGTATTAAACGGGCCCCGGAGCTGAATTATTAAAGACCGTGGTACCGTTAAGCTCCAATGTTATCGGTCTTTTTATCGGTACTGGAGACATGTAAAAAAGATATGTCATGTGTATTATATTATGTACATGCAGCAACACACGGAGGAGATGGCGGAGAGAACGCGCTCCGAGGTGTGGTTAAACTTTACCCGTCTCGATGCTCGTTGCCTAAAGTGCAATAAGAGTTTAGCATGTAAGGGCGGTAACACGAGCAATTTGTCTAAACATTTAGCAAAAGTGCACCACATCCAGACGGAGGAATGCACCGGACTGTCTTTCTAGCAGCTCTGTAGCCCCATCCACGAGTAACGTTTCCACGTCAGGTGTTATGTATGCTAGCAGCAACACACGGAGTTAACTACATGATACAAACATGGGTTAATGATTAGAGGTAACTGAGTTACTCTTTATTTTGTTAAAGTTTCAGCTATTCTGTTTACAGTTCTATCATCACATAATTGAATATGATTTGTTAAAACACTGTTGTTTCTTTTGATGTGAAATATTATTTATTTCATTTAAATAAAAAGCAACGTTAGTTTTGTTCACAATTTGTTTAGTTAGTTTACCTTTTTGTTTCTCCAAAAGAACCAATAAGAGTACCGTTAAAAGACCGGATCGATAAGCGGTATCGATAAAAGTAGTAGTACCGTTAAAACCTTAACGATACCCATCCCTGCTGGCTGCCCTTCTGGTTATTCTCCGTGGTGGATTTATCAACATGTAGTTCATGTAGTTCTCCATGTCCACTTGTTGCTGATGGTTGTGGTAGAGGAGCTGTAGATTTTTGCACTAAAATCTGTATCATGGTCACAGACCCGGCGCCAGAACAAATCTAAAGGGAGGGCATATGATTTTAATGGGAGGGCACACAAAACCGTCACGTGCTGCGGGCCTGCGGCACAATATATATCAAACAGCAAGGCCAACGGCATTGCGTAAAGACGCACACTTATCGCAAACATACACAAATAAAGGGCAACATAGCAACCACTTTGAAACATTGTGTGCGTGGCAGCACAAACACTGGTAAATCACGAGCAAGGCACACTGGTTACGGATGGCAGCTTCCTCATCGTTGCACTCGGAGAGAAATAGTAGAGACGGAGACGATGAACTGTTTAGCCCGCCTTGGGCATGTTTATGTTTCTATGCACTGCCTGACTCGGACATGCTGTGGAGTGAATCGAGTCACCTCTGAGAGGGAGTTGGTTGCAGCTAAAAAAAGCTATAATATCAACGACAGCTGACACGTAATAACGGCTCCGTGCAGCTGATCTGCACCAAAGTACTCATTTCCTTATTTGTTTCCTCTCGTATCTGTCTCTCTCTCCACAAACTCTCACATGAAATGTGTTCTTTTGATGCGGCATGCCTTAGCAGTCCTTTATCAGTCTGTAATGCATGTTTCCAGTCGCAAAAACCTTTGACAGTAAAAGCCGCATCAGATGAAGATGTATTTACTTTAAACTGTCTACAGGGGAAACAAAAGGCTGCGTCTGCTTTTAACGAATATTCAAGCCGGTCTGTTGTGTACCATGCAGCGGCAAAAGTGCGCTTCTTTCCTGAAAACAATCTCCCTGGATAACGATCCAGCTTCACCTGCTTGGGTTTATTAACCCCAAGATCATCGCTAACTCAGTCCCGGGGTTTGACGAGACACATGCATTTATTTGACGTAGCCTGCGATTTTTTTTTTTTGTTCCGACATCACATACATCGTAGCATAAAAGTTCACAGTTTATTTATAATTAAAAAAATAAAATATATATATTTTTTAATTTTTATAAATAATAAACGTGTTTATTGGGGGAGGGCAGGAATGTCAAATGGGAGGGCCTGGCCCTCCCATTTGACAGAGGTGGGGAGAGGCGGGGCTATGGCGTCATCGCTATCAGGAAATTATCGTACATACGGAGCCGTTTGGCCCCCGAGAGCGTTTCGTCCGCAGATCTACCCACCTTGGGAGCCGTTATCACAGGGCTATCAGATCGGGCTCTGAATCCGCGTTTCCGTGTCGGCCTTGTGTGGGCGAACCGTCTATACGAGAGAACGTTAGCGGATTCAACACGTTTCGTCTCCGTGTAGACCTTAGCCTTAGTTTCCCAATGAATAGCGAAACATTAAAATTAGCTGCTGATTTTTCATAGAGGTGTTCATATAAAATAAAGAAAATTCCATACAAAGAAGTGTGTGCTACTTTTTAAGTTTTAAGTGATTTCGTCATTAGGTTACATGACATAGAGGTTTTCAATTAAATAACTGCTGATTTTGCCATACAAATATTCACACAAAAAAGAACTTATTTCCAATTAAAAAAAGAGGTACGTCCTAGTTGTCCAGCGTTGTTATACAATGCTGCATTGATTTTGTGTCATTGGATGGGGAGTAAGAATTGGGAAAGTGAATTTCCAACCAAAAACTAACTTCATACCAGTACATTAAACAAACTTCCCATGTTTCCTTTTTTGATAACATGAAAAATATTACAATTAGATTTACACTTTAAGCATAAAACATATTTGAGAGACTTAATAGTCACAAATCACAGTTAAAAATAGGCACAACGTGTTTTAAATGGAATAAACTTAGCTTAGCAATTTAGCAAAAGTAGAACTGAAGCTAACATTAGCTTACCTGGCAATTGAAGAGATGCTAATCAAGATTAAACCGGCACTTCTGGTGATCTCATGTCTTCTGCAGGGAGATATCTTCACAGTTTTGTGATACATGCTCAACCACAATATCCATTTTGACTTGGTTCCCACTGTTGTAATGTTTGTGTAGCTCAATGTGGAGCAACTAGCCTCGGCCAACTTCTAGCTCAACATGGCGACTCAGATTCACTATGACTTGTCCTCATTGGCAAAAAAGCTTTGCAAAACTTCCTGTTAATTTTAGTTCATATCCAAATAAAGTTTTAAATGAAGGACAGTAGTACAGTGACAGAACAATTATATAGGGATTACATACGGGAATATAACTAACTAAGTATTATCAAATAGACATTACTGAAATATTTAATTGATTGATAAGGAAGAATGTAAGTGGAGAATGTTGAGAGTTCAGTATAGCCTAAGGGGCCATATTAGTGCTAAACATAACTAGTGTTGTAAAGTAACTAGGAGATTTACTAAAGTACTGTAGCCTACTTAAATACAATTTTGAGGAACTTGTATTTTACAGGCCTTTTACTATAACAGAGTATTCCTACACTGTAACTTTCTACATGTAGCCTACTTAAAAGATCAGTATGGTAGACCAGCATAAATACCAGCTTCACCAGCATAGACCAGCATAACTACCAGCAAAAACCAGCAAAGAGCAGGAATTCCACGCTGGTCTATGCTGTTTTTCTACCTCTGGGCTTAATTATATTCAAGTATAAATTACAGATATTACAGACATGGGTGATTTTCTATACATTTGGCTCGGTCCAAAGGTAATACAATCTGCCTTCAAGCACCTTTGTTTGCTATTTCACATTATGTCTTATTTCCAAAAGGGTAAGGCTATTCCCCTGTTTCAGCTAATGAATAACAGTACTGATGGTAAAATGTCATAATCATTATATCCACAACAAACTTTGAAGACCTCACCTTTGAACATCATACAGTTATTATTATTATGATACTGCTGTTATCTTTAATAGCTAATTATAACAACTATTCATCATCATGATCATCTTTCTATGCCCAGTTACCATGTATACCATTTACGGATGATGTCCGTCAATGTCATGAAGTCTAATTATGTTAATTACCCCAGAGAGGCACAGAGGGAGCGGCACAGAGTGTGACAGTGAGCTGTGATTATGATGGCAGCACTGCAGGAGAGTGGAGGAGCAGAAAGGTTGAGGCCATTAGAAAGAGACAGCTGCTGGAGACAGAGCGGCAAGTTGGAGGACAGAGGAGGAGCTCAGACACTGAACCATGCAACCAGGAGGTCTGGGAAAACAGCTTGAGGGCATAAAATATGACAACATCATTTGTCAGTAAATTAAGGGGTCAAAATGGGTGGTGATGCATAACAAACTGCTTCAGTTAAAGGAACAGTTTAATAAGGAGGCTAATAAGTTTGACACTAATGGGGTCAGATTGATGACATTTCCTGAATAAAAGATTCCACAGAGTGGAAGCATTAAATGCAAACGATCTTTATAAAATGTTATCTATATTATTGATATCTATATAATCTCTGTAGCATGATATTTGGCATCTATGACCACATAACAGTTTTTCCATTTGACTGGTGAAAGGTCTAAGAGACATCAAGATTTCTGTCCTGTCTGAGTCAATGTTGTCACATTAAACCTGCAATAACTCATATGTATGGCCACTTGGTGGCAGTGGAATCAAGCCATGAGCACAACATTGCTTTAAAGCAAATCCCTCTTGTAACATGAATGAACACTTAATAAAGTACAAACTTGTTGCTCATCCATTTTTTGTGTGTGCAAATGAACGGTGTTTATATCAGTACCATGTTTGGATTATTGAAAGACGGTACAATGTATTACTCCTCCAGTTGATGTGCATAATTAAAATTCCTGACTCATTGCAATACAACACATACAGTACATGCATTTAATGATGTGGTCATTATTTTTTTAATAAAGTTTATGATATTACATATAACTGTCGGATAAAAAAAATTCATATTTCCAAATTAAGAGATGATTTCTAAACTTCACAGTTTTCCTCTTAAAAGTACGTCACAAACACATGTCTTAGAAGCAGTTACGGCACACCAGCACACACCTTGACAACATTAATACATTTTATTTTTCATCACAATTAAATAAAAACAACCTCACTGGATCTTGTTTTGTGTGATGATTTATTACAGTATAGAAATGGCTTACTTCTTACATAAACTACAAAAAAACATCTTCATATAATGAAATCCTTCATTTGGAAAAATCATCACTATTCTCAATACTGCACAAATGCATAAAATCTAGTGACGAACGGACAGTCTTTTAGAAATACATCATCTCAAAGTTACATAATTATTTTTCTTACAAGGCATTGATAGAAATGTGTAAAAATCTAATTTCTCAAGCAAGCGATACAAATATCCCATATGCTCAAAATGTGAACTGAACGGCCAATCACAGCGGACATAAGGGCAAAGTGAGGACGATATAAGTTATTTAAAATAAACTGTAGTTCACATTTAATAAAAGGTGATATCAAGAAGTCATAAGATGAAATCATGCACAGTAGCAAGAAACGGTTAAAACAGTGGAATTACGTTAAGACGATATATATGTATTTATATATACATACATACAATATAAGAGAGCCCATTTTGAAGCAACGGTCTTTCCAGTTTAAAGCCATCAGGGAATCATTTTCAGGATCTTGTTATAACAAGCAATGGTGATAAAAAAAAGAAGCTTACCATGTAAACTGTAAATAAATTGCTGTTCAGTCAGATGTTAATCCCTACAAACAAAAATAAAAAAGGTCAACTACAGATATGTGGTCAATTGATTGTCTGGCTGGTTTAATTCCTGTTATTATAGTGTTTAAAATGTTAGTAAAAACTTTTTAAAGACAGATAAGCAGACGGAGGAGGAAGGTCATTAAACTTCCACAGGCACCAGACTCTGACCAGCAGTGACTGTCAGGGTCCACACACACGCACACAAACAAACACACATTTTCAACATGGTCCAGTTCTCCTTCATTGGCATATACATCTTTCATTGTTAGTAGCACATTATACACATAATATATCTGGGTTAAAATAACATAGAGTAATAATAAGAGGAAGAATACTATATTTTACAGAACGGCTTGATTTGTCTGATGCCAATAGTTAAAATGCTCATTTAATGTCATGATATTTAAAAAAAAAAATTCTTTCTGATGTCTCTGTGTAAGAACAACTGTATAAAATATGTGTGTGCAGAGCTGAGGCGGCCTATAGGTTGCTGAAGAGTTCATTTTTCTTGGTCCAGTCCATGGGGGGGGCTTTCTTGTTGGAGCGTTTCTGGTGGGCGAGCTCTTTGACCTGCTGCAGGGACAGGTTGAGCGCCGGGATGGCGCCCGCAACAAAACCCTGAGTGATGAGAAACAGGGGAGGGGAGTATGATTAATGTTTGGTCACAAAATGCCACCTTAAAGAACAATATTGAAGTGATTCACACGGTATCCTTATAGAGTGGTGCAGGAATGAGTCCTAAAGCCGGACATTAGTTAGCATTTTAGCACTTTTGGGTTCCCCTGTTTTGAAGTAAAAGATTTATTGAATGAGATTTTGGTAAAATGCCTGAAATAAGGTACTAAAGGGTTGTGAAATGTACCTCAGGTGTGGTTTTGGCGGGTGGGGTTGTGAGCGAGGTGTTGGAGGAAGCGTTGGACGGAGAAGGACTGATTGACATCTTTGAGTCCCTCTGTGCCTCTTTGGCCCCTCTACCATTCACCTGGGGACACAAACACTCATTGTCAGCATCACCACAATATTGATAAAAATCATTACATATAAAAATCATTACATATAAAAGGCATGTATAATTGTATCAGTTAAACTACACATTTTTTTCGTAAACATTAGTTTTGTCTATAACAAGGTCAGAAAAGATCACTTTGCACTTTCTCAGAGTCCAATTTCTTGAGAGGCTGATGACTTTTTCTTGCCATTTCTATATGAAAAATAAATCCACAATTGATAACATATCAAAACGGTTGATTTTTCTTTTTGTGTGAATCGACTAATTGATAAATGATAGCAAGTGTAATTTAACAAATGGGATTTGTTATTTATTTTCAGCATTGATGCAGTACCGGACCTCACCACAGGGGGTCAGTCTTATATCCGAGTTGTTTTTCCCATTGATTACAAGTTACTAAGAGGTACCTAAAAAGTGTATATCTAACACACAATTAGATAAAGAAAAACTAAATATTGGAAGCTTATATTGAAAGAAAAGAAACGTCTATGCTAGTGTGCTGAGTTGCCTTTTAAGCAAGTGTTCTGTCAACACCTCTATGACAAAAGGCAAAAGCCATTTAGAATATGTTTTGTGTGTGTGGTGAGTTCTCAGAAACTCTTCCTGCTTCTCTTCCTGTTTGAGTTGCTCATCATTTGATTCAGGTTATTTCCTGCCCTCAGTGTTTGTAAACAGATTGAATGAGTTGCAGGACGAGACATTTAACTTCCTGCAGCCTCAGTAAAAATGTCAGTGTGTATCAGTGTCACTTTTACCACACAGGCGACTTCTCCTTGACCTCCTGCATCCCCCCCTCCCTATTCCAACCTTTAACAAGCGTCCGCTAAGCAACAATACGAGGAACATGTAACTTCACATACAGTCCCTGAATAACGGGAAGTCCGGGTCAGGCTTCACTTTGCATATTTGGCCAAACGCCCAACGAGAAGTCGACCGCGCCTCACAGTGGTTTCTTTTACTTTGTGTCTTCATGCAAGTTTTTACTGTCTTATCAACACAGATTTACAAACAGGTCTAATGCGTCCAGGCTGGAATAAGACACTCTTGTAACGTGAGAGAGCTTTTAAAAGCATTCTTGAGAGAGCACACACACACACACACACACACACACACACACACACACACACACACACACACACACACACACACACACACACACACAACACACACACACACACACACCACACACACACACACACACACACACACACACACACACACACCACACAACACAACACACACACACACACACACACACACACACACACACACACACACACACACACACACACACACACACACACACACCACACACACACACACACACACACACCACACACACACACACACACACCACACACACACACACACACACACACACACACACACCACACACCACACACACCACACACACACACACACACACACACACACACTATTACTTACTAGCATAGGTTTGACATTTAAAATAAATGTATTTCATTTATTGGGAGAGTCAAATAAAAAGATTTATACCACTCTTTTGTCAGTACAATAAAACATATTTATTAATACTAAAATTAAAACGCTTTTTGTTTCCAAAATGCAGAGAAATATTATTTATTTGTCATATTCACTATTAGGCCTGTTTCTTATTGTAATTAATTGTCAATCACCTTTTAATCATTCATATTCTATATTTTTTATTCAATTATTATTTCTTTTTCTAGAATCTATTTCATTTAGGGTAAACTCGTATCTCTATGGTTTTCTCAAACTAGGGTTGGAAAGGGATTGGTGGAGTGTGAGGACGAATTGTTCTAAAATATATATTTTTAAATGGAAAGAGAAAATGCTTTAATTGTAACGCTGTATTGTTGTATCTGTCCTTCAATTATAAAAAAAAATCCTCCTGACAGCATTCCAAAACTCAGTAATTAACTACGTCCTTTGTATCCTTACAAAAACTCTGAATGTGCCTCCTACTCTATGTGAGTCTAATTGGAATTAAACCCAATTATTTCAGCAGGATTAAACAAAGCCGATATGATCTTCATGGCTTAGCCTAAAAAAGGACTTTCCAGTTTGAATACACCTTTTATATAACTGTCGTTCATGCTACTTCATCGACAGGATGGATTTGTACTTTGTATACACAATCCATCCTTGGTCAAATAATTCAAAGTTAATGGAGTACTCGCTGGGTGGGGTTTTCCACACAGCAGCGTACAATGAGACAATAACAGGAAAGTCCGCTCAGTCCACATCTCTGAGATGAATAACTCAGTTCTGTGATGTGGAAGCCACACCTGAATGCTGCGAGTTACTTTTAAACCCTGCTCCCCTTCGGCCTGCTGGACGCTGAAGATCTACAGAGTATTATTTTGGTATACAGAGTATTCAAAAATGAGCTATTGTTGTCCTTCTCTCTCCGGAAGCAGAGGTTCCATCACAAAGCAAAACTGGTATTTGAAGTGTGTGAAGAATCGTCGGTCTCCAGCGGCGGCAACTTCCCTCTCCTCTTCACACACTTCAAATACCAGTTTTGGCTTCGTTTAAAAGCAGATGTCCAAACCAAATGAAAGCATTGCATTCATTTAAGTGTCATTCTGAATGTGTCTCGGTTCTACATGAAGGGCTGGAAGGGTTACTTTAAAAATGTGTTCCGTTACAATAACAGAGTTACCTGTAAAAAAAGGTAATCAATAACCTAAAGTATCAACATATTATAAAAGAATGTAACTGGATTACGTTACTTTTGGATTTCCTCAATATCTATATTATTTACAATAATATTAACGAAGATGTTGATTAATCTGCACTTGTCTCTGTTAAATAGACTAATACATAAAATAATCAAATAAACATACACATATAGGAAGGGTTTGTCTTTAGCAATCTTCTTACATGTTGGGCCAGTAACATCATATTGAATGGAGGTATTTTCTGCTGGTGTAATCTTACCTTCTCCTCCATTTTCCCATTAAGGACAGGCTCAGGCAGGGGACCTGTAGAAATTAAAGAGACACAAGAATCAGTCATTGAACTCCACGTCTCTTCCCTGTGTGTCAGGACTAATGTCACATCGTGAGACCATCAGCTCCACTCTGCTAGATCAAGAGTCTCTCAGCAGCTCGCCTTTCACTCCACCAACACTTACTCTGTTACATAGCGCAGGTATGAGCAGATCATCCATTATTCACACATGGTTCATCTTCTATGAGATGCTCCTCCTGCATTGCACCCACGACCCTCCAAATATCAGATAGCTGTAGGGGAGCATTTCTCTGCAGCTCTTTCCCATAGAAATGCTTCATCACAACGCCATGTTTGAACACACACACACACACACACACACACATTATTTTTTTTAAAAGGGGCTCTTTAAGCTTTTGGGGGTTTTACCTTTCTTGTTGTTTGTTGTATAGGTTTTTGTGCATGGTCTGCAAAGGCTAAAATCCCACAGTTTCTCTTTACATTACATGTCACTTGTTAGACGTTTTTATCCAAAGCGACTTACATACTCAATACTGTGGGCAATCCCCACAGGAGCAACTTGGGGTGTCTCGCCCAGGGACACAACGACATGCTGACTGCAGTGGGGTTTGAACCTGTGCTTCCCTGATCCGAACACCAACGCACTAATCCACTGCGCCACACGCCTCCCACACACTCCGCCCCCTGCCCAAAAGACCTCCATTTATTTAGTTATGTAACATAGTGACATCAGTACGTAACACTTTGGCTTATATTGGCCAGCGTTCAAACACATGTACGTGATAGGCTAATGGGCGGGATATCTCTAAGCGGTTGACTAATCAGAACAGAGACGGCCAGCTAACCAAGAGAAGAGGAGCTGCAGCACAGGCAGTATGAGAAAAATAAAGAACTGTTTTGGTCATTGAAGCCTGTAAACCTGTCACAGTAGAGGCACTAAGTCCACATATAACACCTAAAAGTGAGCATAATAGAGCCCCTTTAGGAAGTGGTACTGTAACCGGCATCTTGATGAAGCATCCCTTACCTTCCATCCCTCTGATCCTCTGCACTAAGTCTTTCTAGCTAAAGATGAATATTACTGGATATAGCAGCTGGTCCTCCAGAGTTACTCTGGGATTCAAGGCCTCTCTGTGTGAGTGAGTGTGTGTGTGTGTGTGTGTGTGTGTGTGTGTGTGTGTGTGTTGTGTGTGTGTGTGTGTGTGTGTGTGTGTGTGTGTGTGTGTGTGAGAAGAAGCCTCTCAGAGTCCTTTTGCAGCTCCTGCTTCAGGCTGAGAGGCCACTTGGAGCGAGCGCCTTGGAAACCAAACAAAGCGTCCGGTAAGAGAGCAGTGTGAGTGGAGTTAAGAATCAGCGCGGGCAGCTGCCCTCTGAGTGGGCCGCAGCATGTGAAGGCAGTAACCTGGGAAACGCCTCACTGGAATCTCTGCTGGTTCTTTTTTATCCCGTACTGAAACACTGACGCCGTTTGAGAGTCAGAGACCATATGAAACGTCTGCCTCTTATTCAGTGATGGTGGGGTCCATCACACAAAAGTACACAACACATGACAAGTTACCCAAGTGCTTATTAATGGTTAGACTTATGTACGAATATAATCAACTGGGAACATTCTATTAAACCATATTGCATTTTTTTTATCTATTTCCTCTGTCCTGGATACAGAGGGCAGCGTCTCTACCCAGCGTTGACTCTCTGTTTCCATGACAACAGCTGGCAGCAGCATGTTTACATGAAGGGTCTCATGGTGCAGAGTGACGCACACACGTACGCACACACGCACCTGTGTGAAGGACAGACCCTCAAACACAGAAACTAAATGACACATTGTACTGGAGCTCCCCCTGGGGACGGTGGTAAGTATAACAATAATTATCATTAGAAATACTTTAAAATACTTTATTGTGGGTGTTCAACCTGCACAGTGTTGGTGAAGGCAGCTTGAAGTTGCATGTTTGTTTACTTGTATACGTGTCTGACAATGGTTTTAGTATTGGACGTTTTTTGGAGCGGCCATAGATAAGAAAGGTTAAGAATGTATCAGGAGAACATTTTAAGAAATCATTCTTTAAATAAAGGTTATCCTTCAAAATAAATGTGATATTGATATTAGTATTTAGGTCACCATTACAAAAAAACAACTATGGAGTGAATGTTGCTTCTTTGTGTCAAGTTGCAGTGTGATGTCAAACGTTTGGAAGAGAGATCTGCAATCAAGCTTTAACACCTACAAACAAAACTGTTACCGAGCTCAATCCCTCTCTGATCCGTCTGATCTGATCTATTTGTGTCCAAAAGATTAACTTTGTCCACATTAGGTGTGTGTGTGTGTGTGTGTGTGTGTGTGTGTGTGTCCATGTGTGTGTGTGTGTGTGTGTGTGTGTGTTTGTGTGTGTGGTGTAGGGGACAGGATGAGGCTCAGCGTCTGTCTAAGTTTCTTGGCAGGCAGAGAAAGAAAAGGAAAAGAGCTGTGCAGGATGAAGCGAGACACAGAGATAAAAAGAACTAAAGGAGGAGAGCCGAGAGACTGTGTGACAGACTTAAATCTGTCGGGGTTGAGAGGAGGACAAGAAGAGGCGTTGTCTCGTGTCTAAAACATGTCTATAACCACCACTGACAATGGACCTGGAGTGAAACATTACGAGCTAATTGCAGCAATGCACTCCGTCCATGCCAGACAGCAGTTGAACTTGTGCTGCTTCTTTAGTGATGGTCATATTGTTCTGCGTGTGTGTGAGTGTGTGTGTGTGTGTGTGTGTGTGTGTGTGTGTGTGTGTGTGTGTGTGTGTGTGTGTGTGTGTGTGTGTGTGTGTGTGTGTGTGTGTGTGTGTGTGTGTGTGTGGTGTGTGTGTGTGTGTGTGTGGGTGTGTCCTCTCACCGGTGAGATAGTCCGTGGAAGGGGCGACTCTGCACTTTTTGAAGAAGGCTTCTGTGTCTGCGTCCACCACCAGCAGACGGGCCACGTTCCCACCGGCTTTAATGGCGGACACCACATCCGAGTGCGTCTTCCCTTCTACCGACACACCGTTCACCTGAGGAGGAAAATAGATCGTTTTACTTTCTAAATGTACAAAATGTTCTTCTTTGGGGGTGGGGCTGTCCTGTCTTTGTTTCCACAGAGAAACAGTTTTTATCTCTGTCAAGGATTTCTTTCTCAATATTATCACTTTGTCTGCCAGAGGCTCCAGGGCAGGAAATCCTGAGTGTCCACGCACAACACACGTACACACACATTCCTTTAAACTCTAACTTGCAAAACAATCGTCACAGTGTGGTCCAAACCAAAGACTAGGTATTCTGTTTGGTTCAATTTGAATACTTTTCATTTAGCCTTTATTTAATACTTTTCGTCCCAGGAACAACTTGGTTCTCTTTTCCAAGAAAGACCTGGCCAAGAATAACAGCAACACAGAGTTTCAACAATAACAAAATAGCACACTCTCATAGACACATACATTTAAACTACTTTAAAAAATGGTGTAGTTAAAACATTTTCACACAGACAGCCTGGACTTTTCAGGGTTTCGTGCAGTAGGTGCAGAAAAAAGCTTTCTTTCCCAAGTCAGTTTTGGGAACAACAAATTGCTTAATGTCCAGAAAACACACATGATTATTGTTAACATATGATGTGGACCTTGTCTGTGTGGTGGATAGTAACTCAACATGTCAGGTGGCTCACTCCCACACCAGCTGAGTATTCTGGGATAAAATCACCATAGGAAAGCATGTGAGAAATGTCTTGGAAGGGTGTGTGTGTGTGTGTGTGTGTGTGTGTGTCTGTGTTTAGGTCATAGGGTGGACCTGCACGTCTAAGCCAGTCCCAGAGAGGAAGCTAGACAATAGCTGCTCGGCCAGTAGCAGAAGTAACAATGACCGTCCGCTCCCACAAAGCCCCGCTCCTCAGTGGGTTGTCTGGGGCCCTCGGGGGGGAATGAAAACCCCTCGCTCGCCTCACACAGACCCCCATCTCTGAGGAAACTTTAATCCCTCTCCTCTCTCTGTCCTCCTTTTCATTTCACTCTTATGGTCATTCATATAGGAAATGAAGGGAGACAAGTACAGGTCAGACTTGGTCTAATTTAGCTGCCATTACGCCATGTTGTTGAGTACAACAGCATTAAGTGACTTTTTTCTTTTGACTTTTATCAAACATTGTATGACATTCTTGCCGTTTATCACCAGAATGGTCCAATATAAAGTTCATTTTGAGCACTGCAGTCAAACGTATGTGATGAAGAAATGTCCAATCTTCTCATAGAAATGTTTGTTTACACACATAACTCTCTGCGGTAGGCCACAGTACAGTCAAGAAGAGGTGAGCAGAGCAGACCCCAGACCAGTTAAAAAGCTGATTATTTCAGTGTGGGGCTGAGCACAGTGACAGTTTCAGAGTCCTGCGGGGATCTGAGACCCCACACAGCGGCAGTTAGTCCACAACACATTCCTCCAAACCAAAAGTTCACTTTGGGAAAAGAGAGGAGCGACTCTCAGGACCTGCCTAACTTTTTGATGTGGATGTGGATTAGTCAGATGAAGAATTTAGATCATTTACTTCAGTTAAAGTAGTGATTTCACACTGTAAAAGTACTGTCTTACAAGTAAAGGCTGCATTGAAGTAAAAGTCTGTACATATAAATAGAAAAAGTAGTAAAAAGTACAATTGCTATAATGCAATATACATTATAATCATGTGATTGTTATCACTCAAGCATAGATCTTAAAGCAGGATTTAACTTATTTTGCATTTAATAATAATAATAAATTATATTTATTTATATAGCGCTTTTCTCAAACTCAAAGACGCTTTACAGTCGGGGGAGGGTAGACAAACAAGGACAGGCAAAAACAAACAAAAACAACTGCAGTTACTGATTATTTGTATTACAGATCAATCTGATGATTATTTTCTCCAATAATTGATTCAAGAAAAGGATATTCATTAATTTGTACTTGAGTTAAGTACTTGAGTAAATGTCCTTCTACCACTGCTTTGCTCATTTCAAATACAACTCTTTTCAAGTAGCAGCCCCTACACTTGTGCTTTTGTTACTTGAACTGTCTATAACAATACAGCATAACAAAGTGTTCATGTATATTTGAGGACCTGATGTCCAAGCTGTCAGTGGTGGAAATATTGCAAATACAAGAAAACAGAAAAAATAATTCTCACAGAACAGATTTTCCATCTCATACAATAGAGTGAAGGTGAAACCTGACCATGTATAGTTTTATCCAAGTAAAAAAATCACCTCAGGCTGCTCAGAGCGGAAGAGGGGCAGACAGAACAGGAAGGGTATTTTTGGGTAACTCTGATCAGTTTCTCTTCTCCTAAGGATTACTCTGTAACTAATGAGTTAAAAAGTACATTTACTTAAAACTGCCAGTGACTTCCATGAATCCTTCTTACACAAAGTATTCAGATCTTTTACCTCTAATCAAAATCTAATATCAATATGTACATGTCTGCACAGCAGTCAATTTTAGAATAAAGTTAATTATATTATTGTATTACACGTTGACCATGTTAATACTGCAGCTAGCAAATGAGGAGATTATTTTAAAATCATTGTTTAACTATATATACTGCCAAGAAGCGTTTGAATTTCACAAAAGGATCAATACATATTTGTCTTAACAACATGATAATATAGATAAAGTAGGTGCTGATTATATTTTGTTTAGTAATTTAAATTTAATTGAAGTTATCAAATAAATGTAAAAAAGTTAAATATTTCCCCCTGAAATGTAGTCAAGTAGAGGTAAAAGGTAGCAGAGTATTGAAAGACTCAAATAAAGTAGAAGTACCTCAAAATGTTCCTTAAATACAGTACTTTATTCTAATTTGTATTGTATTACTTTCCATGACTACCGCCAAGAGTTAGCAGTCCGTTCAAAGAGTTTATAAACTAGAAAGTCGTCCCACCACAATCAGTATAGTCTTCTTAAATGGAGCTACTGTCTCTAATGTCCCTATAAGTTACCTGTATTATCCTGTCTTTGGGCAGCAGGCCCGCCCTCTCTGCTGGAGAGTCTTCGTCCACCGCTCGGATGTACTGGCCCGGCCGCGCCCGCTCGCTGTGCAGGTTGAAGCCATACCCGCTCGCCCCTCTCTGGATCACACAGAGACGAGGCCGCAGTTCAGAGCTCATCACCTCCTGGAAGCAGAGGAAACACATCAGGTTAATATCAGTGTGTGACATACATCGACAGAGCTGGACATTAGCGTTTCAAAATACCTCCACCATGGGCTCGGGCAGAACGAGAGGCACAAAGGTTACGGAGAGCTCCAGGGATTCGTTCACCATGAATATAAAGCCGAGGTTAAACATACAGGTGGCTGCTGCATGCTGATGTGTTGTGCAGTGTTTTTTAACAATATTGTGTGCTGCTATCTGCCTCCATGTGACTCAACTGCTCTCCAGGAAGGAAGAGGGTCCTGGAGGCATGTGATTGGAGGTCTGCTGGAAAGGTTTAGGGAACATTTGGGGAGGGGGGACTTGAGGAAGGGATCGGTTCCGGTGTGGTCCGAAGCCCCTGATCACTCCTGGCTCCGAGGAGGACAATGGACGCTGGGCGCCGACCTCTCACCTCCCCCCGTCCCCGTCCCCGTCGCCCCGTCCCACTATGGGATGGCAGGAAGAGTTAGAGCTGTATTTGTCATCCAGGAAAAACTCAAGCTCAACCCCAGAGCCTCCCTTCCGCTGGGTGGAAGAAGCACATTCTTTATTTAGAAGTAGGGCGCCGTAATGGCTTTGTCATCAAAGAGGTCAAAACACGACAGAATACAGAGAATACAGGAGCTACAGATATCAGGAGACGCAGCACTGGCCAAGATCATCTTTGTCAGTGTGACCAAATGTGACCGGAAACACAAGGAGGGCCAATACAGAGGTACCTTACCTAAAAACCTTTCTGACACATTCATGGCCTCAAGTGCAAGTTTTCTTCATTTCAGCATGATCTGTATTTTGTAACTTACTGTATAATCCAATTTAGAGCAAAATAGACAATAAAGCAGGGTATGCTTTGGTGTTATTACCCAGGTTTGGTTTTACTTATAGACACAAAAGATGTTGAATATTCACTCTTAATTAAAAAAAAAATGACATGCTGTTAATGACGTTACAGAAGAAGCAGGTTTTTGTATTTATAGGTAAAGCAGCCTTAATGGCGTTGTCATCAAAGAGGTCCACATATGACGTAATGTAGGAGTTACAGATAATCAGGAAGAGCAGTGCTGGTCAAGGTAATATTTGTCAGTGTGACCAAATATGATCAGACACTCCTTTCACCTACAAGTACCTTAAACCTGCATCCTGACTGGCAGTACTCAAGTCTATGAGAAAAAGACCCTTTATCATTGATGGCCCTTTTTAATTATTTATATCAGTAAAACATTTCCTACATTCACAATGTCTAAACCATACCTTTGTCCACTGCTGAGTTCAGGTTTGGTTGTACTAAAAGACTCAAAAGATTGTTAATTTGTATCATAAAAAAAAGACTTGCTGTTGATGACGTCACATTATACTTCCCAACAGGTCACAGTGTGTGAATCAAACTCAAAAATTGGAATGAAAAAGCTGCAACGCCCTTCAGCTGAATGGGAGATGCAGGTTATTTACTTAGAAATAGGGCGCCTTAATGGCTTAGTCATCAAGGAGGTCAGAACACATCTGAACTACAGGAGCCAATGAGCTCAGGAGACGCAGCAGTGGTTAGGATAATCTTTGTCAGAGCGACAAAATCTAACCCGACACTCCCTCCACATCAGAGCAGCTCTGCGTCCTGCCCTCTGTCAACTAAAACACTGGAAGACAATAAAAAAACCTCTATAAATAAAGTCTGACTCACTTTCTACAGTAAATATGGGGCAGGAAGCTGATTGGTTAAAGCTTAAAGAGGACGTAATAATAACTGAATCAACGCTTTCTCTCACCAGCCATGAGTGATTGTCACTTTACTGTATTATGTAAGACAATAGGTCCAAGTCTACAACCCGCCCTCCGCCACCAATATTTAACTTCTCTCCTTGTCTTTCTTGGAAAAAACCCCTATAAAAACGCACTTTATGGTGTGTTCAAGTAAAGCAGGTGATTCTGTGTACTGTCATTCCTAGAAATCATGTGAGGTTCTAACAATAAACTGCAGGTTAGTCGTTTTTTTCTAAAATGCTAAAATAGAGGCACCCCTATGCTTACAGGTTTTGAGTCATCTGTTTACTGCTAACAGATGTTAGTTTGGCAAACAACCAATCTTTAATTAGGATACCTATGTGATGTCATTGTGCACAGAGAAAACATGCTAGTTTGAAGAGCATTTTGTGTTCATTTAACGGCCTGTGTTCATCAAATGTTGGGCCTTTCCAGTGTCCTTTAAAGCCTTTCTCAATCGCACATAAAAGCCATAGTTTTCAACACACAGTAAACATTGTGAATTGTAAATAGGTATGTCTAAGCAACAAAGCTACTCTGTTAAGGTTAAGCTCCTGGTTCAGGTTGAAAATAGAACTTTTTTTTTGTCAATTAAGTTAAGGATTTGGGGTTTTCTTGCTCTTTAAATATGTTCCACCTGACTTTCAGAGAATTTACACGTGAAAGTCACAGCAAACACACGCAAAATGACAAAGATAATTGCTATGTAATTCATCTGCAACTTGGTGAGATCAGGCTGTTAGATAAAACAGTGTTACTAATCTATTCATCTAACTTTCAGCAGTAAAGCTAAATGCATTCCTTTTAACTCCTGTCCCTTGAGTATCATGTAAATATCTCAAACTAAATCATTACACAGTGTCACACACACCTCAGATATAAAACATTAATGTCACAGCTGTCCTTTTCTCATCATCACGCTGGGCAGCTGGAGCGCTGATCACTCACCAGATGAGCTCCTGATAAGAGCCCTGCAGCCACACTTCCATCATAATGATAACTGATTATACAAAAGTGATCGTCTTCGATTGCACGACCTTCAGTTTCTCAAGTGTTACACCCAAACTCAGAGTGAAGCCACCTTCCTTTACAAGGCCTTTAAATGTAAAAGGTTCAATCCAAAGTGCAGACTGAGTAGACAGTCTTGTATTTTATTTAAAGGGGCTCTATCATGCTCATTTTCATGTTTCACCTTTGTGTTTAGTGCGTCTACTGTGACATGTTTACCTGCTTTAACGTATCATTATTTTTCTCATTCTGCCTGCACCTCTTTTCACCCTCTGTCTGAAACCAGAGCCTATCATGTACAAAGTGTTGGAGCGCCTGCCAATGGAAGCCCGGGTGTTAAGTAGTGATGTCACTTTGTCGCAAAGTAAAAAAAAGAAGTCTAACGGAAAAAAACCTCTGGAAGGAACTTTGTGATTTTAGGCTTTTCTGTACATTTACAGGCACAATAACCTAAACAAAAGACCACAGCGAAGGGAAAACCCCCCAAAAAAGCATAATAGGGCCTCTTTAAAGTGTAATTTAGCTCAATGTTTCTCCTCCTTTAAAAGCCTTGAATTACCAAACAAGCAAGCAGCTCTCACTCCCCGTGGCAGTAAAGCACTCTCCGTGATTTATAATTACTCCGTTCATGTGGCATCAACACACTCTGCAGCCTTGGCATTAACTCAGTGACGCTCATGGGGTCCGTGCAGAGCCGGCCCGACCCATTAAGCGACATAAGCGGCCGCTTAGGGCCCCGCAGCCACTAAGGGGCCCCCTAACAAAACAAAAAAATGTCTTTTCTTTTCATTAAAAAATTAAAAATCTCAGTACACAGTCGCCGTGATAAGTATGTTTAATTAATTGTGTTAATATGCCTAGATTGCCTACTCTCAAAGTCATGTATTATATTATTGAGTCAATAATATAATACATTAACCATGCTTTACCTGAACCTGATCATGACACAAGAGAGGACGGTAGGATTGCAATTTCCCGTGTTCAGTGAATGCAACAGAGGCAAGACACCAGACCAACCAGAGAGTTGAATGGAAATAAACATCTGTCTTATTGGCTGACAGGTACCTATCCTGTGAGCTGTGACAATGTTTAAAATAAACTGTCAGTCGGACATTTTGAAGATGGACATAAGAAAACATTTTCTTAAAAAAGACGACAATTCATGGTAGTGTTGCACGGTGTACCGATACTTGAAAGGTACCGCGATACCCTGCCGTTAAAAACGTTACGATTCCTCCGTTTCATTAGTATCGGTACTTTAAGAATGACGGGGAAAAGTACTCCGGTGAGAAAGCGCTGTTTTAACAAGAGCCGTGTGTGTTCAGCGCTCTGCTTCCACTACCTGCATTGCAGCCGTGCCTGCAGTCCCTCCCCTCTCAAGCACGCTCTAAGTCCCTCCCCTCTCTCGTGCTAGCTGCCAGAGCATGTGAGAAAACGGGGAGCAAGTGGGAGTGCAACTGCCGCTGCGCCTCGGCTTGTTGACAAAAAAGACGCCAGAAGGTCCATGGTGTTTACATGCTTATTTATACAATATGTGTGCTTATGCTAACATCATAAGACAAAAGTTGGTTCCGTGTTGTGTGTAGTGAGAACGCGCTAGAGTGAGGGGGGGGCCCCCAAGCCAAAGCTCGCTTAGGGCCCCCAAAAGTCTAGGGCCGGCCCTGGGTCCCTGGCTGACGTTAGGCGTCCCTGTGCAGAGAGAGAGAGGCTCTGCTCGGGACAACAGAGGGGGGTTTGTGTCGGAGGAAAGTGAAAGGCTGAAGAATCTCCATGAGGGTCTGAAATCTGTGGAATCTGCTGAACACACACAAGCCAGGACGGCTAACCAAGGACCGGTCAATTGAGAGTGTGTGTGTGTGTTAACAACAAATACAATGTCGGGTCTTCTATACCGAGACACAGTTTCAAATATGCTGAGCACAACAAAGATACAAGCACAGTACACTCATGGGACGTTCTGATCGTCATAACTCCCTGACACACACACCCATACTGAACGGCCTTATCTGTCTTGGATTGACACACAAATCTGTGTTCCCTAACTTACGCAGCAAGAACAACTAAATATTTGTTTCAGACCGGCTTAGCTTTTGCCTGAGGTCAGCTTTATTCGGGAACATTTGTATACTTCCTCTCAGACTCTTTTGTTTTGTTTTGAGAAATTCCCAGACGCTAAAGCATCTGCATGTACGTGATATGGGAAAGAAAACAAT